GGCTGAGGTGGGAGGATTGCTTAAGTTTGGCAAGTTGAGCTGCAGTGAGCTTTGATTGTGCCACTGAACTCCAACCTGCGCAACAGAGTGAGACCTTGTCTCAAAAAAAAAAAAAAAAAAAGATAGGGTTGTGGAAGTGTACAAAGAGTCTTCAATTATATCTGTAATGTTTTATTTCCTTAAAACATGAAGGTGGATGGGAACACTAAAGCAAAAAAAATACTGAAGGAAATACGGCAGCATGTCAATATTTATTAAATCTGAGTAGTAGACACATGCTACCTGGGTGCTTGTTATATACCACACAGAATTTTTCTGTATGTTTAAAGTGTCTCTCTGTTCTTTTTTTTGTCTTTTTTTTTAAGGGGGCTGAAGCAGCACAACATCCAAAGCAAAACAAACAAATGCTTAGCTTATTGTTGAACTTCTGAAAATCCTGCATTTAGGTCCATATAGTCACAAAGACAGTTTTAAGTTTGACAAGAATGTTGATCCATTTTAGGTTTAGGCAAAACTGTAAACTTAGAGGTTGTTTTTTTTTTTTTTTTTTTTTTTTGAGACGGAGTCTCGCTCTGTCGCCCAGGCTGGAGTGCAGTGGCCGGATCTCAGCTCACTGCAAGCTCCGCCTCCCGGGTTCACGCCATTCTCCGGCCTCAGCCTCCCGAGTAGCTGGGACTACAGGCGCCCGCCACCGCGCCCGGCTAGTTTTTTGTATTTTTTAGTAGAGACGGGGTTTCACCGTGTTAGCCAGGATGGTCTCGATCTCCTGACCTCGTGATCCGCCCTTCTCGGCCTCCCAAAGTGCTGGGATTACAGGCTTGAGCCACCGCGCCCGGCCGGTTGTTTGTTTTTTAAAATAGGCTGGAGTGAGGTGCATGAGCTCACTGCAGCCTCAAACTCCTGGGCTCAAGTGATCCTCCCATCTCAGCCTCCTACAAGGGCATGCCATCAAGCAAGCCTGGCTAATTTTTTTTTTTTTTTAAGTAGAGATGAAGTCTGACTGTGTTGCCCAGGCTGGTCTCCAATTCCTGGGCTCAAACGATCTTCCAGCCTTGGCTTTCCAAAATGCTGGAATTACAGGAGTGAGCCACCACATTTGGCCTGGATCTTTCAAAGATTTGAGTTTCAGAATAAACATGGTATTCTGATCAAAGTGTAGTCCTCAAAATGTGGCCTAGGAGCTGCTCTTATCTTACCCTATTCTCTATGGTATGTCTTTGGGAAGAAATAACTATATTTAGGTTTAAAAAATACCTATCATCGGCCGGGCGTGGTGGCTCATGCCTGTAATCCCAGAACTTTGGGAGGCTGAGACGGGCGGATCACGAGGTCAGGAGATCGAGACCATCCTGGCTAACATGGTGAAACCCCGTCTCTACTAAAAAATACAAAAAACTAGCCGGGCGAGGTGGTGGGCGCCTGTAGTCCCAGCTACTCAGGAGGCTGAGGCAGGAGAATGGCGTGAACCCGGGAGCGGAGGTTGCAGTGAGCGGAAATCCGGCCACTGCACTCGAGCCTGGGTGCACTCCCAGGCTGGCGAGACTCCGTCTCAAAAAAAAAAAAAAACCCAAAAAAACCCAAAAAAAACCTATCATCATAAAGCTTCTTGGGTGATTTAAAAAAAATACCTATCACTTTATTGTTGTCATTAAAGCACACACCTACCTGCTCCTCCATTTTCCTCATTAAATTCTGATGCAATGACTTGATGCCAGAGTAAGATGAAAGGAGTGGTCACAATTGTCTTATGATTGGGAAAGGCTGTGAACCTAATGGGGTTCTTTCCCTGCTTTCTCTCTCCTGCATTCTTTTGATTACACTCTTCTTAGCTCATAAATAAAGTGTAGCAACATGTTAAGCTATGGAGTTAACATGGCTAGTGACACATTATTCTCATTATATATAATAAGTTGTCTCAGATATTTCAAATAATGTGTCCTATACATCTACCATCTTGAAAATAATAAAAACAAAATGACCCCCGAAAATGTCAAATAGCAAGAACTACCCGAGACCCCAAATCTAAAAATGTGGCAGATATTCAGCAAATACTAATAGGAAAATGACTTAAGTTTCTCCTACTTCACCTTTTGGCAGAATTATTGGCATAATAAAGGACATGTTTTCCCAGAGGGGAAAAAAAAAAAAAAGACAAGTCGATTCTTTAAATCTTGAAACTAAAAATGCATCACTGCTGTAATGCATTTCCAAACATACTACCAGGAAAGAGAAAGAAAAAACTAAGAAGCATTAGTGTAAGTGATATTAAAGAAAATTGTTGGAGATGGAACTCCTGCCTAGTAATTCAGGAAGCAAAGGAGCTGGTGGATGGACAGGTTGTTCCTTCTGCATTGCTGATGAAAACAGGAAATTGAATTTCTATATTTTTCCTTTTACAGCTAAGAAAAAGGCAGAAGAAGCACAAAGAGCCTGGCTAAAGACAGAAATCATAGTGCTCTCTGAAAATCAACATCAAGAACAAAAAGTCCTACTCAATTATCTGCAGTAACTAACTAGAGAAAACTCCCCATCTTTTCTTTATTTAGCAATATCTTGTTACTTTGATAGAGATATTAAGTCATTCATCCAATCACCCATCAATTCAATGAAAAAACATTTATTGAGCACACAGAGGTGCCAGACCCTAGGTACTGTGTGTGTATGGAGAGAAGTGGGTGAAGTGAGACTAAAGAAATATCATCTTTCTTAAATTTTTCTTTTCCAACACCACTAAACCTGTGGGGGAATATCATCCTTTTCCACAAGGATTTAATAGTCTAGCGAGGGAGACAAAAAGAATCCTCTAAAAAATTAGGTATCTGGGTTGGGTACAGTGGCTCATGCCTGTAATCCCAGCACTTTGGGAGGCCGAGGCGGGTGGATCATTTGAGGTCAGGAGTTTGGGACAAGTCTGGCCAACATGGTGAAACCCCGTCTCTACTAAAAATACAAAAATTAGCCAGCCGTGGTGGTGCACATCTGTAATCCCAGTTACTTGGGAGTCTAAGCTGGAGAATCTCTTGAAACAGGAGGCGGAGGATGCAGTGAGCTGAGATCGCATCATTGCACTCCAACCTGGGTAACAAAGCGAGATCCTGTTCCCTCCACCCACCCCCCCACACCAAAAAAAAGAGGTGTCTCTGCCAGGCACGGTGGCTCAGGCCTGTAATCCCAGCACTTTGGGAGGCCAAGGTGGGAGAATCGCAACAGCCCAGGAATTTGAGACCAGCCTGGCCAACATGGTGAAACCCTTCCTATAAAAAATACAAAAATTAGCCAGGGGTGGTGGCGCGTGCCTGCAGCCCCAGATACTCCGGAGGCTGAAGCGGGAGGATCACTTCAGCCCAGGAGGTTGAGCTGCAGTGAGCTGTGATCTCACACTGCATTTCAGACTCAGCAACAGAGCGAGACCCTGTCTCCAAAAAAAGAGGGAAAGAAAGAAAGGAGAGAGAGAGAGAAAGAAAGAAAGAAAGAAAGAAAGAAAGAAAGAAAAGAAAGAAAGAAAGAAAGAAAGGTGTCTCATTGAGCTCAATCCTGACCCTTTCCAGGAGGAATAATAACAAAATAATAAAAACAAAATACCCCTGAAGAGAAGGAAAATTTAACGAAAATAACAAAAATATCTTGGAAAAAGCGAGCAACTTGAACTGGATCTGTCTGATGACTGGCTCAATTCCTAAGCTGGATGTTTGAAATCTGTTATTTAACATCCTTGCATACACTGGGGATAGTAATTCCTATCTACCTAACAGAGCTGAAGCTTAAACGAGAACACTGTAATATGCCTAAGGTCCCAAGAGCTGAATCAACAAAGAGAATCTGACAGTCAGCTTACGACAGAGGGAACGGATAGTTTTACTGCAATGGAGGGACCTACAGGGGCACAGAAAGGTATCAATCTGTGGGATCAAAGCTTTGAATCGAAGGCAGAAATGCAGTCGTTTTACAATTTTCTCCTTTCCCCCCAAAATAAGAGCAGTATTAGATTCTTTCTATTGGTCACTATTGATGCTTCTGCATGGTGATGCTGGCAAAAGGATGACGGATAAAGTACTGGATTTAGGCACCTCTGCTATGTGACCTTGGTCTCACGTTACGTCTTTGCGCTTCAGTTTCTCATCGGTAACACGAGGATCAAAGTTCCTTTTAAACTATGCGTCCAGTTTTTGTAGGATCCAACTCGAATGTATGTGAAAACGCCCTGAAAGCGCTACAGCGCCAGGCAAATATTAAGTTTGGTAATTTTTTTCCCCTAAGAACTAGGCGTTCCGAAGAGGAAGACAACCTCTCTGCTTGCTTTGTCACTCTCCTTTCTTCTCGACCTTTATCAACTTTGTAATTTATAATCACAGTAATAGCTGACATCCTACAGTAGTTTCTGGCACCAGATTCTCGGGCCCCACCCAGATCCACACTACCAAGCCTCCCCGCCTGCTGAGACCGAAGGAAAACTTAGCCTTTCTCCACCCGCGGGCGGGCCCTCGCCTTTAGGCCCCACCACCCAGAGTTCCGGAAGCCAATCCCCACAGCCCTGGAGCACTGCCCCGCCCCTTCAAGAGGGGAAACAATATGGAGGCCAGGAAGAACGGCAGGGGCGCGAGCCAATCACCGCAGAGGCCTAGCCTCATCCGGCAAGGCCCAGAGGCGGGATCACTGGCCAAGATGGACAGCCAGAGCAGCCAATAGGGCGATCGGAAAAGGGTGAGAGGGCGGGCAACAGGCTCTCACACAGCGGTTAAGGCCCCTAGAGCCAAGGGCCCAAGGACCGGCTTGGACTATCTCTTTCCTCTATCCACTCCAGAGTTCTCCATCCCACTTTTGCTGGCTGGCCGCCTTGCCTTCGGCCTATATGATAAGGGAGGAAGGAGCGGCGGTGGCTGAACGCGCCTGACAGGCCGGGCCAGTGACAAAGAGCCGGCGGCTCAGGCTGAACCCCGGGAAGCGATCCTTTCTAGGAGGAGAGCCCAAGTCCCCTTACAAATGGGAAAGACGCAACTCACGTTGTCGATCACGACAGGCTGGTTGGCGATCACATCGTAGGACTCCATGGCAGAGGAATCTCTCCTTCTGGGAAGGAACTGCCTAGCCGGGTCCGCCGCTAGCGCCACTGACACGGCATGCGCAGTCTAGCCGCCGGCTCAGGGAGCGAGGAGCTGCCCTACCTCCCCTCTGAAAAACTACAATCCCCAGCATGCTTTGCGCCTGGGTTAGCGCTCTAGGTTGCTTTGTTGCCCGCCTAATTTAAGACTGGGAGTCGTATTTCCAATGCACAGTACCCTGGGATTTGTGGTCTCCCTAGATTAAACAGCGGGAGACACAGGTTGATGGTCATGTTGCATGCCTGGATCTGTAGTCCCTTTGAAGGAGTCGCAGTGCATACTGAGGTGTATAGTCTTCTTGAGTACTTGTCTGTAGTTCGGTTTGGATTGGTCGTAATTCATGGATGTTTGGATTTTGCAGATCAGTCCTGCCACTCCCCACAACGTTCCCTTAGACAATATAAGGTTCTCATGCTTTTATTTGGGTCTATAAGACTAATAAACATCTCCTAGCACCTCACACTCTAACGAAAAGGAAATGTTAACACACGTACGCGACAGGACATATTCCTACAACATAGGAAAACAATTTAAATTGCATAAAATTAGCTTTAAGGAAAAAACCTGTACATTGTTGTTGCTTTTTGGGTTTTCTTTTTTTCTGCATAGGTGTAAACTTTATAACAGGCTAACATTGATCGAGGATGGCAATTGGAACTACTGTTATAGGTAATCTTTTGGTCATTAAAACATCATCTAAGGGTTTCAGGAACTGCTCTAGTATCTCTTTAATTTTCATGAGGAGCTAGAATTGGCATTGACGGTTGAGAAAATGGAGGTGAAGAGAGGTTATGTGTCACTGCTTTCAAATGAGCCCAGTGCATTTTTTCTTTGGATTATGTTCTTCCCCAGCCCCCTTCAAATTGCAGGAACCTTTTTGTCAATAGCCCTAGAAAATATTAGATTTATTATAATCTATTAATATTAACGCCCCATGGATTAATGAATCAATCCATTGTCAGATTTATGTTTAAATCCTAGTTAGCAGCGCGTCAGCAAAACAGTAACAAATCCTTTGTTGGCGCACTTCTTGGTGCTTTCGTGGGACCCTAGCACCTCAGAGGGTGCTCAGCATCTCTAAACTTGGGTTCCTCCTAACACTAGGGGAGACCAAGAGCCTTGGGACACTCCCAACACGGGGGGGAGGGCCTATTGTCAAGTCACGCCGTCTCTGCCTGTGACTAGCACAGACACTAGCCAATGGGTGCTTGGATAGGGCGCGCCGGCGCCCCGCCTTCCTGAGCGCCCCGCCGCCCCGAGGCACCCTCTGGCAGACTCCGCGGCGGCGACAGCCTGGCGGACAGTGCGCCGTGCGCAGGCGCGGAGCTGGACCTCGCTGCAGCCCCCATCGCCTCGGGAGTCTCACCCACCGAGTCCGCCCGCTGGCCCGTCAGTGCTCTCCCCCTCGTTTGCCCTCTCCAGTTCTCCCAGGGCCTGCCCTACGCGCCCCGATGCGGAGCTGCGGCCTAGCGGCGCCCCCGGCCCCACCGCACCCCCGGCCCCTGGCCCGACTGCCCCTCCAGCCTTCGCTTCGCTCTTTCCCCCGGACTGCACGCCATCTACGGAGAGTGCCGCCGCCTTTACCCTGACCAGCCGAACCCGCTCCAGTTACCGCTATCGTCAAGTACTGGTATGCTCTGGGCCGCGGGGAGACGGACAGGCGCGGGCTGGAAGGGTTAAAGCGCCGAGGCGAAGTAATTTGTGGGAGGCTGGGAGGAGGGTAGAGAACGGTTAAAGCACTTGGAAGGAGGGCTTCCTGCTGTGAGGGAAGGAGTTAAGGCTCAAGTTGGGAATGGGGACAAAGGGGTAACGGAGCCTGTGGGTAGTGAAGGGTTAACCGGGTTTAGGAGAATAGAGTGAGGACTAGGGGTGTGTGTAGGAGCAGAGAGGGAACGGCATGAGCGAGGAACTGTAAACGTGGTGAAAAGAGGGGCGCCTGTAGGGTCATTAGTGGGCGAGGGAAGCCAAGCGGGGCGGCAGAAGTGGGATGGGAGAGGCGAGGCGGAGCCTGGGGAGCATTTGAGAGGGTTTTGGAGGAGCGAGGCTGGAGAAGCTCAGAGGGCAAGAGACTGCATAGGATGGCGGGCGGGGGGCGGTTCGGGGGGCCCGGGGCTCTCCTGTTGGAGGTAGGAGGGCCAAAGATGAGGGCCTGGTGCTTGTGGAGAGATGAGGAGGAGGTCTCCTTTTGATACCTTCCCGATGAACTCAGACGTCGTATCAGGGTAAAGCTTTTGCTTTTGAAGTTTGACGGAGCAGCTCTTCCTGATAAACTTCTTGCTTACTCTGCACTGTTCTCTTTCTCCGTGCAGAGCTTCCTCCTAGCTCTGCAGCGGCTTTGCTTTAGGACATTAGGTAGAGAGAACCATGGTTTGGTTTAGGATTGAAAGGGACCACAGCTTCCCACCTCCATTTGGAAATAAATGATGGAGACCCTGGGACTCCAGCAGGGAGGAATTGTGAAGTGGACATAAAGAGGAGCTTCTTGACCATGGCCTGCAGTTTCTCCGGGGAGCTGAGAGTAACCCTCAAGTAGCTTTAGGTAGGAATGGTCTTTTCTAATTTCCCGTTCCTGTTTGCAACCTGTTTCTTCCTGCAGCATTGGGCAAAACAGATGTTCTGGGGACTCTGGAAAAGAACCTGTCCTCATGGTCTTGCTGGACCAAAAACAGATACTGTTGAAACTGTCCAGACTACATTCATGCAGGCATTGTGTTAGATGATCTTCAGTGAGTCCTGAAAGATGTTCGGCAGCTGCTTGGGGTGTAGCCAAAGGGTAGACCTGAAGGGGCAAGTGGACATCTTTGCTGGTTACCTCTCCTTTTAGAACTGAGTCTCCCTCTTGGTGAAAACCTGTTACTTCCCCTGACATGGATTTCAGTAGGCTGTGCAGGGCTGAGGCCAGCTGCCTGCGTCAACGGGAGGATGCCAAGAGGCCAACAGCGTGGAGGGCCTGGGGACCAGCCACCTGCTGTCTAGGAAGGGTTGTAGGGAACAGCCTCCTCTGTTGGAGTAGCCAGGAGGAGGTAGAACTGGTGTCACAGTCCTCTCTGGCTGGCAAACAGTTCTCTGGTTGAGAGGAGTTGTTGAAGAGTGCTTCTGAGTGGAAAGCAGCTCTTGCTAGCTTAATGACCCATTCTCATTGTGCCTTTATATTTAACTATTGTTGTGATGAACTTGTTGTCATGTGTCATGAGAAAGGTAGGCCTGGGCTGGGCACGGTGGCTCATGCCTATATTCCCACCACTTTGGGAGGCCTGAGGATCCTTTGAGGCCAGGAGTTCGAGAGCAGTTTAGGCAACATAGCCAGACCTTGTCTCTGTTATTTGAAAAACAAAAAAGGAAGTGGGCCTGGCTCTGCCATGCTGTTTGTTCAGGCCTCATTTGAGTGTGAGGAGAAATCCCTACACAGATTCAGGCAACTATTTTTATGTCACACAAGTAGCCATAAAGGATAGAATTGCATGTTAAAGGTATGATAGTGTTTGCAAAGGACTAAGGGCAATTTTTTTTTCCCTTCCTGCTGCAAGCTTGTTAACAGCCGTATCTTCAGAGATGGGCCAACATGTGATAATGAAGAAAAGGAGATTGTACTGCACTTTGTGAAAGCCTTGCCTAGATGCAGAAAAATATAAAGAGAAACAGCACAGTGACTGGTACTTTCTCTTTTTGTTGAGACAGAGTTTTGTTCTGTCACCCAGGCTGGAATGCAGTAGCATGATCTTGGCTCACTGCAACCTCTGTCTCCTGGTTTCAAGCAATTCTCATGCCTCAGCCTCCCAAGTAGCTGGTATTACAGGCGCACACCACCATGCCCAGCTAATTTTTGTATTTTTAGTACAGGCAGGGTTTCACCATATTGGCCAGGCTGGTCTCAAACTCCTGACCTTGAGTGATCCACCCACCTCGGCCTCCCAAAGTGCTGGGATTACAGGCATGAGTCAGTGCGCCCAGCCATCAGTGACTGGTACTTTCTAAGATGCGGAGGGGTTTGCAAAAATAAGATCCTGAAATTCATTTATATTCCTCACATTTGGGATCCCACGAGGTTTCTAGCAGGATGACTGACCCAGACTGTCTGGGTCTGTCTGTGGCCCAGGGTAGCTGGGATTCATTTTGCCAATAGCAGGGTGGCTCTGTGGCTAGTGATCCCTGAGTAGTGGGACTACTAACTGAAAGCTTTCTAACTGAAAGCTGAGACTTTGGTGAGCAAGGATCAAAGCAGAGAGTCAGAACCTGTACTCATGGCCCACTTCAGTCCTGCAACTGCCCTGCCGAGAGAAGTTGGGTGTTGAAGTAATTAAGTTGAGGGATGCCCTGGGACCTTGGATAACATCATTGGCTAAGTGTAAAATATGATTTTTTCCCACATACTCATCTGGCCTCTGGGTAGTAGAACAGAATACTCTGCTTGGGGACAGGGTTAATTTTGTCTGACTCTGGTAGTTCCTTGCAGTTGTAGTTTAAGGTTAAGCTTCTCTCCTTGATGTGACACCTTGTGGGGACCTGGTGAGAAAGAGGGCTTCAGGGATGCTGCAGATGGAGCAGAGAATGGTGAACGCAGTTTTGCAGCTCGGTGCAGGATGGACCTAGGCTGTAGCAGGGCAGGTTTAGAAATTTACAGCAGGAAGCTGGAGCAGGTTTGGGCCTGTAGTGGCTCCCATCTGCTCTGGAGTTCTGTAGCTCTAATGGGGTCTTTCCAGGGATCTCTACTCTTTTCTTTCTTCCTTTGCCCACAAACTTTTCTAAATCCAACCGGTCGTAGTAGTCAAATGATTTGTTGAAATCAGAGTTAAGGCAGACATGGAGAATTGTCCATCTTCCTCAGTTGAGATGCTAAGCTATTGTAGCAACTTTCTTAGAAGTTCTATAAATAACTTAGCATTTCCTAGCAGAGAATAGGATTTCTACAAAGGCAAATAATATCCTGGTAAAAGAGATGAAACAAGACCTACTGGTTTTAAATAGTGTTTAAATTGCCTGGTGTTGGCAACATTGACTGGGATCACTTGTAACGTGTCTTTATTTGGTTGTTAGCTTTCCGCCAGCATGCTATCCTGGTTGAAAAGTGTACTCCATTGATGTCCCAGGGGCAGGTGAAGCTTTTGCAGTCTATGGAGTGGTCAGATGTTTGTGGCAGCTCAAGTGCCGTGTTTGTGGGCTAAATGCAGACTTCCTTCCACTGGTTTCTATTTGGTCTATTTCTCTAGCTACCAAATTTCTTATCCATTCTAAAGGATAACAGGATTTTTTTTTTTTTTTTTTTTTTTTTTTTGACGCAGTCTCTCTCTGTCGCCCAGGCTGGAGTGCAGTGGCGTGATCTCGGCTCCCTGAAACCTCTGCCTCTGGTGTTCAAGCGATTCTCCTGCCTCAGCCTCCCAAATAGCTGGGATTACAGGCACCTGCCACCACGCCCGGCTAATTTTTTGTATCTTTAGTAGAGATGGGGTTCACCATATTGGCCAGGCTGGTCTCAAACTGGTCTCAAACTCCTGACCTCAAGTGATCCACCCACTTCGGCCTCCCAAAGTGCAGGATTACACGTGTGAGCCACCATGCCCAGCCAAAACAGGATTTTTTTTTTTTAAAGCACTAATTACTAAAGGGAACTCTTATTGTATTATATTCTCGGAGTGAGACAATAACTGAATCTCTTCTGCAGCTCCTTCTCAGTTGAATGGTGGGGGAAATTTAATGTGGTCCTGAGAGGCCCCAAATCATTTACCATCCCAGCTCTACCTTTGAGGTGGCAGTCTCTCCTGGGATCATTTTCTGGGTGCAGATGCTCACAGGGCGCAGTTTGACTCCTGCTGCAGTTCTCTGTGCAGAACTGAGTTAAGCCTAAGTTTGGCCTTTGTCACTTGCAGTGATAAGAGACCAGCTTTGGTCTATGTGGTGCAGGCTGGTGTCTGCACGGACTAGAGGCTTCGGTTTGTTAGAACAAACTGTAATTAACAAGGGCACAATATAGTCTTTCAGGAATTAGCTGTCTAAGAGGCTGGAGTGGAGCAGAGCCTCTGCTTCCAGGAACAATGCCCATTGGGATGCTCAGGATGGTCTTTCAACAGAGGCCAATTGATTGACTGATACACCTCTTGCCTTGAAGCTTGCATGTATACAAGCACCACAGAAGAGAGATAATCCCTGCCAGTCTCACTTGGGATCAGTAATTTGAAACAGGAGAAAGCAAAATGGGCAACCACCAGTCTGTTTATGTCTAAAAGAGGTCTAGTCTTTCAGGGGTAGGAGAAGGGAGCTTCTTATGCTTGCAGAGTTGGGCAGCCTTAGCTGTCCATCTCTTGGTCTCATCCTGAAGAGATGTGGCCTCTCTTTAGTTACCTTTCACACAGGTTCCTCCAGGATGGGGCCTTTAGATTTACAAAGTAGAGCGCATTAGCTTGACATTGTCTGATTTCCAGGCTCACACTGACACCCCTGTGTTTTGTTTTTTGCAGGTTGGGTGGCCCAGACCCCTTGGACTATGTTAGCATGTACAGGAATGTGGGGAGCCCTTCTGCTAACATCCCTGAGCACTGGCACTACATCAGCTTCGGCCTGAGTGATCTCTATGGCGACAACAGAGTCCATGAGTGAGTGTGTGCCACCTGTTCTTTATCCAGAGCCTTATTCCTGAGGTTTTCCTGAGCAGGGGTGACAATGTCATAGTGCTGTGAGCTTGGTACTTGTCAGTGGAACCTCTGCATTTCTGCCCTCTGACTATGTCTGCTCATGCCAAGGTGGTCATTGTTAACACCTGATTCCTGCTTACCTGGTTCAGGAAAGTCTTGATGAGCAGGAGTTCCCAAATCAGGTGTTTCTAAGCTTGCCCTGGAGTTTGGGCTTATAGGACGGGAAGGGTAGCATGGTTATGACTCAGAACTTGGGCAGATGCTTCTGTGTCTACTTGCTTTTATTCCCCTATCTTATTATGAAACATTGTAAACATAAAGCAAAGTTGAAAGGATTTTATAGTGAACACTCATATACCCACAACCCAGATTCTACTGTTGATTTTATACTTGCTTTATCACAAATCTGTCCCTCTCTCATCCCTTTATCTATCTTACCTACTTCCTTTTAACCTGTATTTATTTTTTTTATCCTAGTCTGCTTCCATTTGTTGCCCTGTATGCTTTTTTTTTTTTTTTTTGGAGATAATTCTCACTCTGTCATCCAGGCTGGAGTGCAGTGGTATGATCGTGGCTCACTGCAGCCTTGACCTTCCTAGGCTCGGGTAATCCTCCAACCTCAGCCTCCCGAGTAGCTGGGATGACAGGCAAGTACCACCATGTCCAGCTACTTTTTGTAATTTTTTTGTAGAGACAGGGTTTCACCATGTTGCCCAGACTGGTCTCAAGCTCCTGGGCTCAAGCAGTTCTTCCACTTCGGCCTCCCAAAGTATCGGAATTATGGGTGTGAGCCACTGTGCCCAACTCAGAGTTCATACTCTTTTTTTTTTTTTTTTTTTTTTTGAGACGGAGTCTCGCTCTGTCGCCCAGGCTGGAGTGCAGTGGCGCGATCTCGGCTCACTGCAAGCTCCGCCTCCCGGGTTCATGCCATTCTCCTGCCTCAGCCTCCTGAGTAGCTGGACTACAGGCGCCCACAACCGCGCCCGGCTAATTTTTGTATTTTTAGTAGAGACGGGGTTTCACCGTGGTCTCGATCTCCTGACCTTGTGATCCGCCCGCCTCGGCCTCCCAAAGTGCTGGGATTACAGGCGTGAGCCACCGCGCCCGGCCAGAGTTCATACTCTTAATGAATGTATTCTCTTGCCTTTTGAGCAGTTATATCATGTACCCCAATAAGCTACCATCTATATTTAAAAAAATTTTTTTTTTGGCTGGGCACAGTGGCTCATGCCTATAATCCAGCACTTTGGGAGGCTGAGGCAGGTGGCTCACTTGAGATCAAGAGTTCGAGACCAGCCTGGCCAACATGGTGAAATCCCATCTCTATTAAACATACAAAAATTAGCCAGGCATGGTGGTATGTGTCTGTAATCCCAACTACCCCGGAGGCTGAGGCACAAGAATCACTTGAACCTGGGAGGCAGAGGTTGCAGTGAGCTGGGATTGTGCCACTGCACTCCAGCCTGGGCAACAGAGTGAAACTGTGTCTTAAAAAAATAATAATAAGGCTGGGCGTGGTGGCTGACACCTGTAATCATAGCACTTTGGCAGGCCGAGGCAGGCGAGTCACCTGAGGTCGGGAGTTCAAGACCAGCCTGACCAACATAGATAAACCCTGTCTCTACTAAAAATACAAAATTAACCAGGTGTGGTGGCACATGCCTGTAATCCCAGCTACTAGAGAGGCTGAGGCAGGAGAATTGCTTGAACCTGGGAGGTAGAGGTTGCAGTGAGCCGAGATTGCACCATTGTACTCTAGCCTGGGCAACAAGAGTGAAAATCCATCTCAAAAAATTATAATAATAATAAATAAATTTAAAAAATAAAATAAAAAATAAAGTTTTTTTCTGTTTATATTCTTTTGATGGACAGTTTCTTTAATTTAAATGTAATCGCTCTCTTTTTTTTTTTTTTTTGAGACGGAGTCTCGCTCTGTCGCCCAGGCTGGAGTGCAGTGGCCGGATCTCAGCTCACTGCAAGCTCCGCCTCCCGGGTTTACGCCATTCTCCTGCCTCAGCCTCCCGAGTAGCTGGGACTACAGGCGCCCGCCACCGCACTCGGCTAGTTTTTTGCATTTTTTTTTTTAGTAGAGACGGGGTTTCACCGTGTTAGCCAGGATGGTCTCGATCTCCTGACCTCGTGATCCGCCCGCCTCGGCCTCCCAAAGTGCTGGGATTACAGGTGTGAGCCACCGCGCCCGGCCTAAAGTAATCTTTCTATGTTCGTATTCTGTCAATTAAAAATAAAATAAGTGTAGTTTTCCCTCCCCCTCATTAGCTTGGTTAATCAAGAGCTGATTTTATTTGTATTGTCATATCCTCTTCTGGTTTTTGCCTTTTGTACTTTCTTGCCCCTTGTACCATGTCTGTTCTATCTTGGTGGTGGCTACTTAACCTGGGCAGGTTGAAAGAGTAGCAGGACTCCTCCTGTCCTGCCTTTTAGCATAGAGACCAATTCTGGAGATGATGATAGTATCATGAAGAAGATGATGATAGCCTTTTCCCCCTTTGTTTAGTACTTACTGTCTTCCATGTCATTGTGTTAAATGCTTTACAATCTTATCAGGTTCTCATTATTTCTATTTTATAGATAAGAAAAGTGAGTCTCTTGAGGGGTTAAATGAATTGCTCAAAGTTACAGATCTAGGGGTAAAAGAGCTGTGATTGAATTGGGCTGTTTGAGTACAAATTTGAGCTTTTTGTTTTGTTTTTTGAAACAGGGTCACGCTCTGTCACCCAGGCAGGAGTGTAGTGGCACAATCATGGCTCAGGGCAGCCTCAACCTCCTGGGCTCAAGCAATTCTCCCACCTCAACCTCCCAAGGAGCTGGGACTACAGCATACACCACCACACCTGGCTAAGTTTCAAATTTCTGTAGAGTTAAGGTTTTACTATGTTGCCCAGGCTGGTCTCAGATGCCTGGGCTAAAGTGATCCTCCTGCCTCAGCCTCCCAAAGTGTTGGGATTACAGGCGTGAACCACTGCATTCAGCCTCAGAGTTTGAGCTTTTAACCACTGGGCTATTCCACCTCTCTGAACACCGGCCTAACCCAACTTCCTCATCTCTCTTGTTAAACTCAGAGGCCCAGGTTTCATCTCCTCACTGGTCACGTGTTGGTAACAATGTCTGCAGCTGCCTTTACAGCCTTCCAAATGGATTCATTGCAGTGTCAGCAGAAGGCTTTGGGAACAGGGAATTAATCTTGCCTGAATGGGGACCCAGCATTACAGTATTAATAATGGAGATAGAATAGCAAACAGATGTGGGGAGTAAAGGGACTATGCTGGACCTTAATTTATATTTTAATAAGAACCTGCAGAGAGTATTTAGTGCAGCTAGCCTGTACCTTTTGTTGACAGATTTATTTTGGTTAAAACAATACCATTTCCTATGTGGCTTAAGGATTCTTCCAGTCTACCTGCTAGGTATAGGCCCAAGCCCAAAATAACATGAAGAATGTGATTGAGCAAGCCTCATATTTCAGAAGGGGCAACCTCTTAATTTGAAATAGGACCTTATTCCTTATTGTTTTTTCTGGTTTAATACTACCCTCTTACATGTGTTTCATTTCTACATGGTACAGCACTTTGTATTCATATGTCATTTATGACAAGAGTGAAACCTCTATTTGGGTTTTCTTTTTTTTTTGAGATGGAGACTTGCTCATCGCCCAGGCTGGAGTGCAGTGACGCGATCTTGCTCACTGCAAGCTCCGCCTCCCGGGTTCACGCCATTCTCCTGTCTCAGCCTCCTGAGTAGCTGGGACTACAGGCGCCCACCACCGCGCCCGGCTAATTTTTTGTATTTTTAGCAGAGACGGGTTTCATCGTGTTAGCCAGGATGGTCTCTATCTCCTGACCTCGTGATCCGCCCACCTCGGCCTCCCAAAGTGCTGGGATTACAGGCGTGAGCCACCGCACCGGGCCTCTATTGGGTTTTCATGTCACCAATCAAGCCTAGTATTTCCAGTATACATCCTGCACTAGAAGGATATGGAAGGAATGTTCTCAGATATTTACCCAGTTCTGGTCTATGTTGCAAAAGTCAAGAGTACCTCTATAGGCTGGGCATGGTGCCTCACTCCTATAGTCCTAGCACTTTGGGAGGTCGAGGCAGGAGGATCGCTTGAGCCCAGGAAGTTCAACACCAGCCTGGGCAACATAGTGAGACCGCCCCATCTCTACAGAAAATACAGAAATTAGCCAGACATGGTGGTGTGCATCTGTAGCCTTAGCTACTTGGGGGCTGAGGTGGAGGATCACTGGAGCCTGGGAGTTCGAGGCTGCAGTGAGCCATGATTGCGCTACTGCACTCCAGTTCAGCTGACAGTGCGAGACCTTATCTCAAAAAAGTAAATAAAGACAAATAATAAAACAGAAATAGATACCTTTATAATTGGCCTTGTACTGGGATGACTGGTTTCTTTTTGATCCTGTTAAGTTTTTTGAAGAAAAATGTGATTTTCCACACATTTCATAATGGTGGGACCTCTTTAAAATGACTTAATGAATCCTCGTTTAAATTAGTACTCAAAGCTGAAGTCAGAAAGACAAGTGTTGTGCCATCCAGCTTAAGTGCTAAGAGGTGCTAGGTGGGAATGATGGCAAATGGATATCTGGCAGCAATTCTTCTTCCACTGTCTGTGTCTTCTCTTCAGCAAGAAAGGAGCAAAAGCATTGGTTCATTTTTTCAGCACACATTCATCAAGCACCTACTTTGTATCAGACATAGAACATCATAATAGATGTCTTCGGGATAAAATAGCAAGACATAATTCTTGTCTGAAGGAGCTCATGTTCTAGAGGGGAGATAAACATAAAAAGATTGTTATCATATTGAGTAATAAATGCTACAGTCCATGGGTATAAAATATGATCTGGAAGCAGAGCAGAGGGAGTAACTTCTAATCAGGCTGCTGAATTGCTAGAGGCTGCAGGGAGGAGGTAAAGTTGAGAGGAACC